TATTGGACTTGTACTTCAAGATAATATTGCCATCAGTTTCACATGGGCTGGTTGTTTGGGGCGGCTGCCTTAATGTGGACTTACTAATTTCTCTGCAAATACTTCACAATAGGGCATGCATGCGCAGACAGCCAGAGTAATATACAACTTGCCCCGCGATATGCCTACTGATGAAGTATACCGACATTACTCGCGACTTACTAGCCTTACTCTCCATTGCGTAGTTTGCGATCCACGGTTGAAACTGTTGCTTAATTCGCCCTCATTTAATCTTAGAACTTACGGATATAAATCCTTTTCGGTTGGCGCACCAAGGCTTCTGAATTCGCTACCTTTTTACATGAAATCAAGCTCTTCTCAGTGACATTTTAAGAAAAGACTAAAGACATAATTATCTTTTAAGAAAGCTTTTAATTAAATCATTTATTTATTTTAACGGTGACTGTGGACTTTGCGATAATGGTTTTTAGATAGTTTTTACTTTTTTAGATTTTGAATGGTTTGTAAGGGAACGGTCATTATTTATCGCGGGGTGGGGGGTCAGCTACTTCACTGAAGTGATTCCCCTAATAACTTTTGATGACTTTCGTGATCCCCCCATGTCTTCATTTTCCAAGCAAATTTGAGTGGTCCCCCCTCGAATCCTTCAACAGTTTTCAGTAATCCCCCACCTTTGGGGCTCTCAGTTATGACTGATCCATTATTAAAAATCCTCCGCCCACTTTTGCCCCCCGGCGATAAATAATGACCGGGTTGTCTCCGGCTGTCTGAGCCTCTCTTACCTACGCCTAGTGTTATTTTTGACCATCGATTAAGAATTGTCATTTTTATTATTATTGGTCCGTTCCGTTTCTTATCTTTGCTGCGAATGTGCAATGAAATACATGAAAATCGTCATGGGTCATGACAAAAACACTCGCCACCTTGTATATTAATACCGACCCTTTACAGGGCAAACCAGAAATTACGGTTGGGAAATCAGTCAATTATGGTTCTTGTCATTTAAGGCCAATGTTTTCTCCTTTAATTGGCAGAAGTACTCTTTTCCCATTATAGGATCGAGGTGATAATTGTGCACTTTATAGCCATGAGACAATCATGATTTTAAAATATTTTTCTCAAAAAGTCTGAGATTTTTAAGTCATATTTGTAAAATTGTTCTTTTCTGATTGTCAAAGCTGAAGATGGATTTGACTGATGCAGTGCCGAGGCGTCCCCTCTTTGAAGGATTTGATGAAACATTTGCAGGATTTGAACACCGCCACATTGGAAAGACAATACACATGAAAGAAGAAGTCAAGATATTAACGCTTCCAAACGGTGTGGAAATTAAGTTTGAGCAAATTATAGCCCTTGCTGGGGACTTTTATGGATTGCCCGAAAACCCAATTATTGACCCCTGTAAAGAAGAAACAGAGGAGGACTCTGGTCGTGACGTTCGCTTCCGTAATGCATACGAAACTCTAGCATGCGCACCGAAAGATGAATTACAGAAAGAGCTGAACAAACTGTTAGCTACCTTGGAGAAGGAGACTGAAGAAGGAAGAAGCATTGATTCTAAAACGTGGGACGAAATCACCGGTGGTAAATGGTTCTTTGGCCTTCCAGTCAAAGAAGGGAGGATGTTAGAGCTGGCTGAGAATAATCACGACCATTTTCTTCCTTATGCAAAAGACGCATACCTGACGGGTCATCAGTTAGCAATAGAAAAAGCAAGAGAAGCTAGTCATTCTCCACAAGATCCTGCATTGAAAAAGAAACTCCTTCACGAAGCATTTTCAATGGAAGCATTTGCGTGTCACTTTCTTACTGACAGCTTCGCTAGTGGCCACATTAGGTAAGAAAAATGGTCTTAAGAATTCAAGATTTTTCCACTGAAAGACAGAGTTTTCTGTTCTCCTTCGACCTAGTTTGTTGAGATAGTTTTCAACGTGTCTTTCAAGAGGATTCTCACAGGCTTAACGACCCGAAAAGACTAAGTAAAGCAGAACAAACTTTTCGAGAGCCCTGGTGTCATAGCTTGCCATAAACCATTTACGTTGCACGGTTCAGATATTTTGAAGGGAAAAGGGGATTTTAGACGTGTTCGAAAGCGGACGGGGCCCGCCCGGTCTTATGCCCCCAAAAAAGTTTTTTTTTTTTTTTTTTGCTTTCTAAATGTTAATTATTAAATTCTTATTTGATCTTTAACAACCAGAAAAACATGACTGATTTTTTTAGGAATGATTGATTTTTCCTTTGGTCTGAACCGTCTGGCGGACGCCGTTTGCGCTTCGGTTGTTTACAATTATAAATTTTACAAATTTTACCTCTGCTTATATTAGGACGCCAAGAGTTGAATTGGGAAAAGCAACTACTCTAGGAAAAGATGGCCATTTATTATGTAAGTACATGCACGACGAGGACAACAAATATGGTCTGCGCGTGACAAATCTAAGGGGTGATAAATGGATTGCATATGGTGATGGTATGCTTCTGAAAGAAAAGAGCAAAGATAATTTGAAGGTAGCAGCAGAAGCTGTGCAGAAATCAGTTGATCAAGTCTACGAGGCCTACACAAATCCTTCGGGATCTCTTGATCCCTCTCAGGTAACCGACCTGATACCTTTTGTTGATCAGGAGGAAAGAAACAATTCTCCAATGTTTCAGATGATAGATGGGAAGCTTCTCAGAAGATCAAACTTGAACGATCTCCAGGGTACTACTACAACTGCCAGTTGGTGGGGACCGACAACAGTAGCAATGCTACAGGTTTACAAACCTGAAAACTCTGCTATATAGGCGTGCAATTGCTCAAAACCTATATTACCAGGAGAGAGCAAGAACTTTTAAAATGCTAGCTTAAAGAGAAAAATGTATTAAACATATTCGAGATAACGATCACAGCTGAAAATCTTACTAATTCTAGAGGCGATATTTTTTTACTTCACGATTATTGAGATCATGTAACCTGTAGAACTGAATTCAGTTCCAGTTCATACATGTACTAGTCAGATTTAGGGAAATAGGTCTGATTTGACAATTGGTATGTGTTTTAGTTGTACTCTGTGGAATAAGAGATTCTTAGTATACATGTTTTCGATTTCATAAATGATGTTTTTAATTTCTAGTTTTTGTCAGCTTAAAGTAACATGACAATTTTAAACTGCAAAAGAGAAATAGCTTTATAGGGTCAACTTGAAAAGCGGTGTGTCATCCTAGCGAAAAAACAAGGCCAAGAAATGAATGAAACACTAGCTTTCAGGCTACAATCGCGAATAGAATAAACTGGAAAAACAACCCCTCCTCTCTCAAAGTCTAAGTTTGTATGCAACACGTAAGTTAAATAAGGGCCTGTTTTCACGAAGGTGGGGACCCCAAGTAGGTGAGGCAACCACATATCATGTAAACGTGATCAAATTAAAAAGAAAGATTATATGGACAGGCGGGTTACCCTACCCAAGCGGGTCGCTCCACCTTCTTGGGTTCCCCCACCTCTATGTAAACAGGCCTTAAGTTATTAAGTAGGACAGACTGGGAGAGATATACAAGAACACTTGCTGAGTCTGCCAGGCCACTTGCATCGGTAAGACTGGTTGAAACCTTTGCACACACGTAACTGAACACATACGCCAGTCAAAAAAGAATGTCAACATTAACAATTGAATTACAACGGAACACCACTTCCAAATAAACAACCTTACAGGCCGCTACTACCAACGATCCGCTTAAGAAAGCTGGTTTATGCAAGAAACACTGCTGAATCGAAGTCAGAAGTTACCGGTTCCTTGCTCAAATGAAGCAAATCTTGACACCTATAAAATGAGAGAACATACTGAACATTTTGACTAAACAGTGACCGTTTTCACTGGCAAAAGACTGGTGGAAAGGCACCCCTCACATCATCATCGGTCATTCAGGCCTTTAATATCAGGAGCCCGTTCCTCGAAAGTACCGCTAGTTAATGTAAGATTGTCTTCTCAATATTCTTAAGGTAATATTATAAAGGTGTCAGTTAACAAAAAAAAAATGACTGGGTTGTTTGTTAGGAACTGATAGTTGATTTCGAACGTTCGAGGAACCGGCCCTTGGACTACACTCACCGGGACGTAACATAGTTACTCCATCTGCTTATGACTTTCGACTGCTTTCGACTGCTTTCGACTTTCAAGGACAAAGACAGACAGCAGACAGGAGGATAAGCAAGGAGCAGTATACAAGAACAAAAGCTGCGACAACGACTTATTGACGAATCCAGCAAAACTAACACGGACAGAATGACCGGACAAACGGCAAGTTTACTGACAGAAAACGAATTGCAACGGACCAATCACATTTAAGAGTCCAACTTAATTGACCAATTCAATTGAATTCAATTCAATTCAGCTCTTTTTTTCACTCACGCAAAATATGTTAGATTATAATAATATTACAACCGAAGGTTCTAAACAAAGTGAATACCAATACATACGTAGAAGCTGAAAAGAATTACATGTCCAAATATTTCACAAAGTCAATAAAATTCCTTCCATATCACAACACTCACACCGAGTCAACAAATGTACTTAAGGTTCGAATTCTCTATGCGAGATTCTAAAACTAAATAAATTATTATCATCAAGAATGTGGAAGTTGCGAACTCGTGAACTTTAACAAACAAAAAAATTAATCATAAACCACATACAGCAGACAGATTGAGATAAACTTATCCGAATCGATTTTCCACATTCACCCATATTTTTTTCTCCTCCTGTTTTGCTGTCTTCTTTAATTTGAATCCTTTTTTGGCATTTCATTAGTCAAGTGTTGATATTGCCTAAATTTACGGTGTGCGGTAACTAAGTTGTTGTTGTACTCATTGGTCACATGATCAGTTAGTAGAATATACGCACCTGCTTTTCGACCACAAACATAGCGTTGATAAGTATTGCTTTGTTTTTTATTCGACTCGTAGAAGTAGAATATTTGTTTTGGAGGTGAAATTGAATTACGAATCCAGGGTTAGATTCACTATAAAGACAATGGATTTAACTGCGAATCGTCGTTTCTTCGAAGTAGTTTCATTTGACTCCTCGATCGAACACCCAAAAATTGGTAAAAAAATACACCTAAAAGATGAATTTAGGAAAATTACACTCCCAAACGGTGTAGAGGTTAAGTTCGAGGAGATTATAGGCCTCGCTGGAGACTTTTGTGGACTGCCTGAAAACCCAATTATTGATCCCTTTAAAGAAGAAGAGGAAGACTTGTTACGAAAACAGCGCTTTCAAGGTGCCTACGACACACTTGCAAGGGCACCAAAGGATGAATTACAGAAGGAACTTGACAAGCTGTTGGCTTTCTTTAGGAAAGAAAGAGTCCTGGATGCAGAAACAGGGGACGAAATCACTGGTGGTATCTGGTTCCTCGGCATTCCAGTTATACAAGGAAGGAAGTTAGAACTGGCTGAAAATAATTACGACCATTTTCTTCCTTATGCAAAAGACGCATACCTGACTGGTCATCAGTTGGCAATAGAGAAAGCACGAGAAGCCAGTCAATATCCACAAGATCCTGAATTGAGGAAGAAACTCCTTCATGAAGCATTTTCAATGGAAGCATTTGCGTGTCACTTTCTTACTGACAGCTTCGCTAGTGGCCACATTAGGTAAGAAAAATGATCTTAAGGATCGAAGATTTTTCCGGTGAAAGACTTAGTTTTCTGTTCTCCTTCGACCTTGTTTGTTGAGATAGTTTTCAACGTGTCTTTCAAGAGGATTCTCACAGGGTTTAACGACCCAAAAAGAGTAACTAAAGCAGAACAAACTTTTCGAAGGGAAAGGGGGATTTTAGACGTGCTCGAAAGCGGATGGTCCCCGCCCAGTCTTAGACCTCCCCCCAAAACGTTTTTTTTTTTTTTGCTTTCTAAATGTTAATTATTAAATTCTTATTTGATTTTTTCAAAAACAACCAGAAAAACATGATTGATTTTTTTAGGAATGATTGATTTTTCCTTTGGTCTGAAACTGTCTGACGGAAGCCGTGTGCGCTTCGGTTGTTTACAATTATAAATTTTACAAATTTTATCTCTGCTTATATCAGGACGCCAAGAATTGAAATGGGAAAAGCAACTACTCTAGGAAAAGATGGCCATTTATTATGTAAGTACATGCACGACGAGGACAACAAATATGGTTTGCGCGTGACAAATCTAAGGGGTGATAAATGGATTCCATATGGTGATGGTATGTTTCTGAAAGAAAAGAGCAAAGATAATTTAAATGTAGCAGCAGAAGCTGTGCAGAAATCAGTTGATCAAGTCTACGAGGCTTACACAAATCCTTCCGGATCTCTTGATCCCTCTGAGGTAACCGACCTACTACCTTTTGTTAATCAGGAGGAAAGAAACAATTCTCCAATGTTTCAGATGATAGATGGGAAGCTTCTCAGAAGATCAAACTTGAACGATCTCCAGGTTACTACTACAACTGCCAGTTGGTGGGGACCGACAACAGTGGCAATGCTACAGGTTTACAAACCTGAAAACTCTGCTATATAGGCGTGCAATTGCTCAAAACCTATATTACCAGGAGAGAGCAAGAACTTTTAAAATGCTAGCTTAAAGAGAAAAATGTATTAAACATATTCAAGATAACGATTACAGCTGAAACTCTTACTAATTCTAGTGGCGATATTTTTTTACCTCACGATTATTGAGATGATGTCACCTGTAGACCTGAATTCAGTTCCAGTTCATACATGTACCAGTCAGATTTAGGGAAATAGGTCTGATTTGACAATTGGTCCGTATTTTAGTTGTACTCTGTGGAATAAGAGATTCTTACATGTCTTCGATTTTATAAATGACGTTTTTTAAATTCTATCGGAATTTCTAGTTTTTGTCTGCTTAAAGTAAGATGACAATTTTAAACCGCGAAAAGAGAAATAGCTTTATAGGGTCAGCTTGAAAAGCGGTGTGTGTATTATTTCTCATCCTAGCGTAAAAACAAGGCCAAGAAATTAATGAAAGACTAGCTTTCAGGCTACAATCGCGAATAGAATAAACTGGAAAAACAACCCCTCCTCTCTCAAAGTCTAAGGTTGTGTGCAACGCGTAAGTCAAGTAAGGGCCTGTTTACATGACGGTGGGGGACCCCAGGTAGGTGAGGCAACCTGTGGCGGGTCACCCCACATTTCATGTAAACGTCGTGATCAAATTAAAAAGAAAGATTATATGGACAGGCGGGTTACCCTACCCAAGCGGGTCACCCCACCTACCTCGGTTTCCCCACCTCTATGTAAACAGGCCCTGAGTAGTTGTTAAGTAGGACAGACTGGGAGCGATATACAAGAACACTTGCTGAGTCTGCCAGGCCACTTGCATCGGTAAGACTGGTAGAAACCTTTGCACACACGTAACTGAACACATACGCCAGTCAAAAAAGAATGTCAACATTAACAATTTAATTACAACGGAACACCACTTCCAAACAAGCCATCGCATCACTTGGATATATTATACTTTTTCTACAGGCTACTACCAGCGATCCGCTTAAGAAAGTTGGTTTATACAAGAAACACTGCTGAATCGAAGTCAAAAGTTGCCGGTTCCTTGCTCAAATAAAGCAAATCTTGACATCTATAAAATGAGAGAACATACTGAACATTTTGAATAAACAGTGACCGTTTTCACCGGTAAAAGACTGGTTGAAAGGCACCCCTCACATCATCATCAGTCATTCAGGCCGTTAATATCAGGAGCCCGTTCCTCGAAAGTACCGATAGTTAATGTAAGATTGTCTTGTCAATATTCTTAAGGTAATATTATAACGGTGTCAGTTAACAACAAAAAAAAATGACTGGGTTGTTTGCTAGGAACTGATAGTTGATTTCGGACGTTCGAGGAACGGGCCCCTTAGACCACACTCACCGGGACGTAACATAGTTACTCCATCTGCTTATGACTTTCGACTGCTTTCGAGTTTCGAGGACAAAGACAGACAGCAGACAGGAGGATACGCAAGGAGCAGTATACAAGAACAAAAGCTGCGACAACGACTTATGGACGAATCCAGCAAAACTAACACGGACAGAATGACCGGACAAACGCCAAGTTTACTTACAGAGAACGAATTGCAACGCAACAATCACATTTTAGAGTCCTATTTAATTGACCAATTCAATTAAATTGAATTCAATTCAGTTTTTTTTTCACTCACGCAAAATATGTAAGATTATAATAATATTACAACCGAAGGTTCTAAACAAAGTGGATACCAATATATGCATATGTAGAAGCTGAAAAGAATTACATGTCCAAATAATTCACAAAGTCAATAAAATTCCTTCCATATCACGACACTCACAAAATCAGGTGAAAAAGCGGTTGAAAGTAACTCGGAGGAAATTTGCATATGATTACCCAAATTGATACGCCAATCAAGCATCTTGGCGTTTGCAACCGAACCGAGTCAGCAAATGTACTTAAGGTTCTCTATGCGAGATTCTAAAACTAATTATTATCATAAAGAATGTAGAAGTTGCGAACTCGTGAACTTTAACAAACCGAAAAAATCATAAACCACACACAGCAGACAGATTGAGATAAACTTATCCGAATCGATTTTGTACATTCACCCATGTGTTTTCTCCTCCTGTTTTGCTGTCTTCTTCAATTTGAATCCTTTTTTAGCATTTCATTTGGCAAGTGTTGATATTGCTTAAAATTCACGGTGTGCGGTAACTAAGTTGTTGTTGTACTCATGGGTCACATGATCAGTTAGTAGAGTATACGCACCTGCTTTTCGACCACAAACATAGCGTTGATAAGTATAAACAAATTTGTTTTGTTTTTTATTCGAGAGTAGAAGTAGAATATTTGTTTTGGAGGTGAATTTGAATTACGAATCCAGGGTTAGATTCACTATAAAGACAATGGATTTAACTGCGAATCGTCATTTCGTCGAAGTAGTTTCATTTGACTCCCCGATTGAACACCCAAAAATTGGTGAAAAAATACACCTGAAATATGAATTTAGGAAAATTACACTCCCAAACGGTGTAGAGGTTAAGTTCGAGGAGATTATAGGCCTCGCTGGAAACTTTTATGGATTGCCTGAAAACCCAATTATTGATCCCTTTAAAGAAGAATAGGAAGACTTGTTACGAAAACAGCGCTTTCGAGGTGCCTACGACACACTTGCAAGGGCACCAAAGGATGAATTACAGAAGGAACTTGACAAGCTGTTGGCTTTCTTTGGGAAAGAAAGAGTCCTGGATACAGAAACAGCGGACGAAATCACTGGTGGTATCTGGTTCCTCGGCATTCCCGTTATACAGGGAAGGAAGTTAGAACTGGCTGAAAATAATTACGACCATTTTCTTCCTTATGCAAAAGACGCATACCTGACGGGTCATCAGTTGGCAATAGAGAAAGCACGAGAAGCCAGTCAATATCCACAAGATCCTGACTTGAGGAAGAAACTCCTTCATGAAGCATTTTCAATGGAAGCATTTGCGTGTCATTTTCTTACTGACAACTTTGCCAGTGGACACATTAGGTAATGATCCAGTCAGGCTATGTTGTAATGTTTTCATTCATTGCTAAGGGTCTCTTATTACAGCGTGAAAGGATTACAACGTCAAAGGCAGTTTTCAGTTAAAGAAAAGCCATGGGTACAAGGATCGAAAAACCCTCCACGGTACACGGTTGCGTGTACTTGTTTGTGACGCTTTTTGAATTTCAAATGCCGATTGTTTGTATTTTAAGTAACTAAAAAAAGTAATTTTGATATTGAAAAGTACATCACAAGTGAATTGTTTTAAAAAGGAAAAATAGCTGTATAAATATATTCGTTTATTTTACGGAACTTTGATGCCTTGTAGTTAGGTTTATTTTTATAAATCTTTCATGAGATGGCGTCATGCTGACTTGTTAAGAATCTGAATAACATCCATAAAAATATCTACTTGCAGGACGCCAAGAGTTGAGCTTGGAAGGGCGACCATTCTTGGAAAAAAAGGCCATTTACTCAGTAAGTACATGCATGACGAGGACAACAAACATGGTGTGCGTGTGACAAATCTGAGGGGTGATAAATGGATTGCATATGGTGATGGGATGTTGCTCGAAGGAAAGAGCAGAGATAATCTTAGGATTGTAGTAAAAGCTGTGCAGATTTCAGTTGATCAAGTCTACGAGGCGTACAGCAACCCCACCAAAGCTCTTGATCCTTCTGGGGTGACCGAATTAATACCTTTTATTGACCTCGAGGAGACAAACAACGCCCCACTTTTTCAGGTGAAGGATGGCAAAGTCCACAGAAGATCAAGCAAGAATGATCTTTAGGATACAAGCACTACTGAAACTTGGTGGGGGCTAACAACATTAGTAAAGATAATTATGTGTTGTTATAAACCTAGAAACAGTTCCATATAGCTGAAGCGCCTTCCCCACAACAAAACAAAAAAATTGTATATATCAGTTACAGTCGGAGAAAAAGAAGGATTTTACCTTACTTTGAAAAATAAATTACTTAACATATTTTTTAACACGTGTGTGCAAGTACTTATTTTCCGACAATTACAAAAGTCTCTAAACACCAAGCAAAATCGGATGAAGCAAATCGACTACGTCCTGATAGGGATTATTGAAACATACTAGATTCCCCTTGTAACGTGCGATTAAATATTAGAATGTTGGTTGTTGTTTTAAATCTGTAAGTTGCTTATATTAAAAAAAGAAAGAAAACACTGTTTTTTTCCGATCCATGCATTTGCTTTTATTTACCACCAAGTGGTGATAATTTAGTTATAAGTGAAGAACAATTTACGTTTTTGCCACTTATCCCCCCAGAAGTTATATATTTTTTTAATAACAATTTATTTTAATGTCTTCATCACCAGTTTTTACTTTTTTTCTTTACTTTTTAAACAGAAAACTGTCGGTAGATACCACATGGCTAATACTTTAACGTTCCGCTTATGTAAAAAAAAAAAAAAAAAAAACACTAGTTTTTTTTGCAACTTACACTGCTCATTTCCTCTAAAATAATATTAGGGACTTTTAGCAGTGACGACGAGCATGTGAACGTCAACTACCGGACGTCGGTCTGAAACTGCAGCGTGTGCTGGATAAATTAGAAAAACTCGACAAGATAGAAGCGCATCCTAGCGAAGTCTCTGCCAGTCTTGCTAGTATCGAGGAGAAAGTATCTCGTTTAGATGAAGATGTACAAGACCTGAAGCAAAAACCAAACAGAGTGGAAAAGAAAGCGTCCGAATTGGAAGAAAGTATCCAGTTCAACGAAGACGACATTTCAGACCTAAAGAAAGAGTCAAAGGAGTCAAAGTTTGAAATAAATGATCTTCGCAAGCAGTTATTGTATCTAGAAACCTAATCAAGAAGAGAAAATGTTAAATTCTTTGGGATTGACGAAGTAGTGCCGGCTTCTGCAGTTGACTCCCCACCTGAGGATAAAAGAGATTTAGTGTTCAAATTCCTGGAAAACAAGCTTCGTAGTGAAAACCCTCGTGGTAGAATCGAGTTCCAAAGAGTCCATCGATTGGTAAAGCCTAACAACAGCAGTGACAAACCTCGCCCAATTATCGCACGTTTCTTACGATATTCGAACAAGGAAATGGTGATGGATCAAGCCCGCAAGGAGTTAAAGAGTCAAGAGGACAAACAATTTTCAGTGTTTGACGATATACCAAAAGAACTTTATGAAATAAGGAAAAGTCAGATGAAAAAGTTCAAGGAAGCTAGAGGCAAAGGCTGTACAGTATATTTCAGCAAAGCGCAACCACATAAGTTATTTTTTAATGGTAAATTTATCCCTGAAAATGCTCCATTGACAGATTTTGTTTAGGTTCGAGCACCGCTCTCACACATGTCCAGAGATAAAAATGTACATGTAAATATAATACTCTCATCGGAGCTTTTCTTTCACTCTGCTCTCAAATAGTCATGTATTTGCATATAATTTCCTCGTAATCTGTTTGTAGGCGTTAAGTACATTCACTTTAAAACTTTATTTCCGAATCACTGTCTCTAAAGCTCAACCAAGCTTTTTGGTGTCGTACGCAAACATGCAATCTCAAACAACTTTACTTAGGTCCATTCCAGAGCTCAGCATTCGAGATAGTTATCTTGCTGCTCTTTTAATTGTTTGTATCAGTATTTTAATACTTAAAAGTGGTTGTACTCTATTGTTTTTGTTCTCGTTTTCGTGGTTATTTTTCTTTCATTTTCTGTTATTCAAAGCTATCGCAGCACGTCAATGAAGAATTTCTTTGAGTGTCAGATTGCTGTAAATGTGTTGATAAATTTTTCCCGCCAAATTAGGTCCTACTTTTTCTGGCAATATGGGGCGCAATAACGAGTTCAATATTTTGTCGTTAAACGTTCGTGGGATTCGCACTTTTGAAAAGCGGAAAGCTGTTTTTAGTTGGCTTGGGGACTTTAATGTCATTCTTGACCACGCTATTTTGATAAATGATATCTTAATTCCAATTCTTGACCCTTCTTCAAAGCACATTTATCGGTCTTTTTTGGCCAAAAAACAAACCACACCTACCGCTAAAGAGAAGCTATCTGCAAAGTATCATCATTTAACTATTGACTGGAAAGAGTTTACTTATTATCCTTCGGCACAACAGTAGAAACAAAACTTAGGGAATTTCAGTTCAAAATACCAAACTGCATCGCTTTTACGAATGAGAAACTTTTTCGTTTTGGTATGGCTGAATCAGATAAATGTGTTTTCTGCCAAACTGAGGTCGAATCCATCGAGCATTTACTTTTTTCCTGCAAAATATCCTCTGTTTTTTGGAAACACGTCTTGTCCTGGCTAAGAGACAATAATATTATTGTTGAGAATTTAAGAGAAGAGGATATAATCGTCGGTAAATTTGATGTTGGAGATGATTTCCTCCTAGTTAATCATATTTTATTGCTTGGGAAGTACTATATTTATTCACAAAAATGTCAAAAGGGTATGCCCTCCCTTCAGGGGTTCATTGATAGGACTAGGCGTGTGTACAACGTTGAACTTTACATTGCCAGGAAAAGAGGCACATTAAATAAACATCTTAGTAAGGGGGAAACGTTAATCAATAAAAAGTAATCTAATTAACAATTAAATATTGTACATAAATATAAAGATAAGTACTCTCTATTAACTTAGATATTGTCTGCTGTAATAGCTTTTTCTTTCTTTCTTTCTTTGTTTTTTTGTCTTTTTGTTTTTGTTTTGTTTTGTTCTTTTGTTTGTTTTTCCTTTTTACTTTAAGTGTACTCTGTAAAATGAAAACTTCAAATAAAAATTAATAAATTACAAAAAAAAAAAAAAAAAACTCCCGGAAGCTGGAAAACGAACCATGATGCTACCACGCATGCCCAAACGAGCACGAGCTCGTCGTCCACACCTCGTTGAGGACACCATTTGCCGCCATCTGCCGTCCTGTGGTGAACGTGAGTGTTGCTTGACTTATTTTCTTATATTTTCTGACTTAATTTTTCAATTTCTTGAATCCCAAGGTTTTTCTTAGTAGATAAGACAGAAGCCGTACTTATTCATGTTGCTGTGAAGTAAAAAACCCTCATTTTTTCGATGTTGCAGGAAAAATTTGACAGTCTTAGTATGACTGCACTCGGTCAAAGAAGTGATGGATACAGCAGGAACATCAGGGTAAGTTTCAAGCGCTTTTTTAAATGTAAGTTGTATTATTTAAACCGCGTTTGATAACAGTTTTGTAATCAATCCTGTCAGGATTTTTATGAAGTTTTGTTCGTCTTTGAACGTCTAAACTATTCGTTTAAATACATTTGAGGTAAGAATCCACCTTATCTAAACTCTGAATGAGCTTAGCTCACTTTTTTGCTGATATAAAAGCCCTCTCAAAGCCAAGTTTTTGTAGTCGTTAATTTTTGCACATGAAGATTTTTTTAAATCGTTCTACAGTCATGTTTTACGCTGTACTGATTTTCACCTCGAAAAAAAAGTTTATTTACAAATAATTTTTACTGCAGCAAAGAAATCGTTTTAGGCAATGAATATGGAATCAAAAGTTTGTAAGCTTACCAGTATTAACACTGACTGTGCAAATATAATTATTGGCACTTTATATTCAGAAATTATTCCATGAAGTGGTCAGAAGAGCACGATCTCATGCTATGCAGAGAAGTTCTTGTCATGGAACCATTCAAGCACCCAAAGCAAAGTAGAGAGAGAGAAGAAATCAGGGGAGAAATAGCACAAAACTTAAATGGGCTCAGTGTACCCAAATTCACTGTAAGAAAGCGGTCTGTTAGGGACAGGCTCACACTTTTGTTGAGGAAGTACAAAGAAAAGGTGAGAAACGAAGAGCAGGGTTCTGGCATGAAATGTGACGAGGAAACAGAATTGGGGATAGCATTGTTTGAAATCATAGAAAAGGAACAGACAGCTGATTTAGAAAGGAAAGAAAACACGAACACTCTTACCAAGAAGCATGAAAACGACAAGGCGTCAGCCGAAGAAAGTAGGTTGAAGCCTTGGAGCGCCTGGGCCAAACAAAAAAGAGGAATGCTGATTCATGTGATGAAGTTATCAAACCAAAAAGCAGAAGAAGTAACACTGAAGCTGTGCAAATTCTAAAAGAAAAATTTGAGAATGAGAAGGAATTCCGGAAGGAAGAAATGGAAGGAAGAAAGAGCAAGAAAATAAAGTAGCTCAGCATCAAATGCTGATAGATCATCAGAGGCAGAACCAGCAACAGTACCAAGATGTAATAAAGATGATGGCTGAACAGCAGCAGAGGCAGGAACAGCAGCTACAGAACTTTCAAATGCTTTTCCTGCAGCAGCAACAACAACAGAGTCAAATGTTAATGAGTTTACTTGAAAAAGTAATGCCCAAATCCTCATAAGAGCTGGCAAAGGCAAAAGAAAAGTTGAAAATCAAATTGTCAACCTTTGGCCCTCTCAGCCCTTTAGAGCCATGTTGTTGTTATCATAATTTTTAACTGATTATTTTCCAACTATAATTTTGTCTCTTTTTTTTCTGTTGACTTTGCCTGTCCAGCTTAGTGATTAGTTTTCCTTCACCTCGACTTCAAAGGTTGATGGGTTGTTTACACCTCTGGAGAAAGGAATTTTCTTAATGCAGTGTTTACAGTGATCAAAGATACACAGTTGAAGCTAAGAGTGAAAGGGTTAAATTAAGCTGTCCTTTGAAATTTTAGAACGTTAGTGTTAGGATGTTTAACCATAGGTTGAGCAAAACATTGAAATAAGAATAAAATACACATACCCTTTTCAGTACTCTTTTGAAACATTAGCATATTATTGCTCAGTGTCTGGCTCTGGAATTATTTATATATTCCTTTTAAGCTTAGGGCTATGAAGGTAGGTAGGGGGGTCTTTGAATGAATCTTTTAACTTTTTGATGGATTGATCTATAGGCACCAAATTGATCTGGAAATATTCGTTTGTGCCATTATCATGTTTATGTGACATTTGCGTTTCCATAGCAACCACATAAATCAAAACTTTCATGGGTGTCGTTTTCTTTTAATTTCTTTCTGTACGTTGAAGGTGCTTTTTTAAAGTATAATTCCTTCTTTCCTACAGTCTTTATTTCACATCCAATTACACTGAATATTATCCAGGAAGGAGAAAATACATCATTAAAATCAGTACAGCTAGACTATAGTTCATTGAAAGTATTGCTCCAGAGAAGGGGGTTCAATACCAAAATAATCACTGGTGTTATTACCATAAAGGCATGTAATGGCGTTACGGAGAAGTGCGCAGACAACATACATTTTACCGACGCTGCTAAGGCCTATCTTCAAATTCTTTTTATAATCGAGAAATTTAAAAGAATCAATGACGTCACCGAATAACCATTCTACAGAAATCCGTGAAGCGCTCATAGACTCGTTGTAATCCTGCATGAGGGGTGTAAGTGGGACACGACGGAACGGTGTTTGGAGATGAACTCGGAGAGGGTAGGCCAAATCTCCATAAATGCACATAGCTTGAGCTGCTGGATTATAGGCATACTGTTGAAGGTCCCGCAGTAGTCCAGAATCGTTTAACATCCCTGCGTCGTGTTTACGCTCCTCTAGAAACGAAAATAAAATCAAACATGAGAAGAGAATTTTTTTCCGGGGGGGGGGGAAAGGGTTGTTTAACTTTAAAACACTAACGTTTTATTACAAACTCACCAACTGGTCCAAATAGGTTGCCAATAAGTCCATTTGGTAGGGACAAGGATTGGAATTTTAACGCGTGGACCCTCTTGTGGCAATTGTACACAATTCTCTGACGCTCATTTGGTCTTGAAATGGGTCGGACCGTTCCATCTACAAAACCGAAACAGTTGTTAAGGGGGCCTCCTTTCCCTGATATAGCTTCTGCATAACGCTGCAAAGCCCCAGGATTCAGAAGATCTCGATTCCATTGTGTTATACGGTGCCCATGAACGTCATAAATATAGTCGATGCCATCATTTGAGATCAGGTTCATAACAGAAACCGGTCGGCCGAATCTCGGAATCAGATCACTGAGTCTGCATGGGTAGGCAACTCATTTGAGGAGTATGCATACGCCTTCCATGTCGTCGCAAATACTCCTCTGTTCGCATTTAAACACCGGTGGTAGTTGGAGGGCTGCAACAAGGCGAGGGAGATCGTGTTTCTCGACACGAAACTCTGCTTTGCACTCCGCGGAGTTCATAGAATCCAAATCAAACCGTTGATAGTTTTCATGGGGAAAATCTTGGTTCTTTGAGATGAAACTATCGTAAAGTAGCAAAAACTCTTCATCGGAAATAATTTCATCGCCGTAGAGAAGTACAAGGAGGTCACTAAATTCTTTGAAAGACATTTTCCCTGGTGACTTTCACTGTAGGAAGAGAATCGTCCACGTACCGAAACCGGTTTGCTAAAAGTTTCTGTTTCCCGCCAAAAAACCGCCGTGGACGACGTTCTCGTTCCAGGCCCCAATCGGTCATACCAGTCCTCGTCCTCGTTCTCGTCTTCATTGCTAAAGGTCGCCATTCAAAAGTTAAATACACCAGCGAATTCAATGATACAAAGATGGCGGCTTGTGTTTACTCCCAGGCGTTGGTCTCCGACTCTCCGTTAGACCTGTGTGCCAACCGTCGATCACCATTCTTTCTCCACCCCCTTCCCCTCGCCTCCTTTTACTTGGCCCAGCTCCATTTTTTTTTTTTTCAGGAAATTCTGCATCGCCATATTCTACGCCAGCTGGAGATGTTACGTTTGTCGTATTTCTAAGCTAGGAAAGAAACCAGTCACGCCTGTGTGTAAGAAGGTAATGAACTTCTCGCGTAATGTATTTTTGAGCTGTCGTTTATGTCATGTAAGCGCAACGTTTGTTTCGGTACAGTCCTACTAAAAAAGGGAGGTTTCAGGAGAATAAATGGATGTCGGAAATATTTGCCCAAAACAGGGCCAAAACAGGAAGGCTGGAATCTCTGTCGATGGTTTTGAAAGATACAGCACAACACAGTAAAAGCTATACCCTTCTGGAGGTACAGTATTTCGAAGCGCTTGTAACCTAAATATTTCTTTTCAACGCCAGATTTGTGCAAATTTTGAAAACAACGCGAGTTTCGAATTACAATCTCGATATTATGGTAATTTGTCTTGCCGAAAATATAATTGAGCTTTGCAAGCGTTTTATCGTTTTCAACTTATTACATAAAATAACATAAACTAGCTCTAGTTAATTTCGCAAAGCTAAGTGCGCTATTCGAATAAATCACTATTCCTAATCTTTGCCGTTGAACGACCTCTTCGGCCGGTCGTGGTTTTGCCTACTTACATATACGGAGCGCCACCTGCAACTTGTTCCGGCTGTCTAATAACGCTGGCTGTTGTTTCCAGGTGTTGTTGCTTCTCCGCACGAGGTAAATTGATTTTTCGTCCCTCTAGTTTGCTTCCACCACGTTTACTCGTCTCTGCTGCTGCCTTAGTCGTCTATCGATATTGTCGGTTGGGGCCGGCTTTAAAATATACCTTCTTGAAGTTTATTGTGCAGTTGGCGGCCGTTTTACTGAATTTTATTTCACTCTTAAGCTAGTCACGTTTTGATGAAAGCTCACGTTTGTCGATCAAGAGTCGAAACTTATAAATTCATTCACTTGGTTGTGGCCGAGAATAATTTCTTATGTCGGTATTTTTGTCGGTTGGGGCCGGCTTTAGAATATAATATATAGATTTAGCCAGGGCTAAAAGCGAAGCTCTGGTTAATAATACGTGTAAACAAAAAAAATTAAATCGTGTGACGCTAAACGGGGGACGACAATGAAAATGGCTTCAAGAGTAATAGATCTAATTAGCAAAAAAAACAAATTGCACGTGCAGCCACTTCTTCTTCTAATTAGCAAAAAGCAAATTTGCACGTGCAGCACGCTTTTCTGTCTTTCCCTTGCCGTTGTTTTGCACGACTACAACACTGTTTTGTACGAGTAAAACATCAAACTTCCTAGTTACACACTATTTTTATGGAGAAATTGTCGTATGTGCTTACCCAATATTTTGTTTCCAGTGTTCATGTTCGCTTTTATTTTTCACTGCCGCTCATTTTCACCTTGCTGGCGGCCAGCATTTCTTATTTTCTCACCTCCGCTTTGAATTTCCATGTTTTTGTTCCAACGAATTTTCAATAACTCGCTCTAGCTTTTTCTCTGTTATCCACGTTAGTGTACACATAAAAAATAACGCCGAAAAAAGACACGACTTTTTTCTTTCTACAAGTCCGTTCGGCCATGTGATATCCTTACAAATAAAACCTTGAGTTGCATTTGGGTTCCCATACCTGTTGATTGAGTTATTTTACATTGGTATCCCTGTGGTGCGGACGGACGGTCGTACGGTCACGTGATTACCAAATTTTCTGGGATGGGTAGATTACCACATTTCCTTAGCTATGGGGCTCCGCCCACGCGCGCGCTTCGCGCGCGGGTGGAGCTCCGCTATAAAACACGGGCGGTTACAACTCTAACAAAGGATGTTTGGGCAGTCCAATGAATAACCTTAAGAGCGACTGTCAGCTGCTCAGTGCAAATATCGACCAAAATCGACCTCTTGTGGCACAAGTTCAAAATCCGGATTTCGCTCATTTTTGGCTCATCGATAACCCTAATGAGAAATGAACCATGCTGTAGTTAGTTTTCCCAAATAACGTGTTCTTCTGTTAAAATTCGAGAAAACTCATTTTGCCCGTTTGGAGCTCAAAATCCACTTCCAGTAAAGCGAAATTTTACACAAATTTCATTGACTCGTCCGTCAAACCGCAACGATTTGGCAGTCTTTGAAAAACACGAAAAGTTTTTATGACACTTTCTTTCTCACAAGACGATAAATTTGTGAAAGCTGTAATAATTTTGTGGCCAAAAAGGTATTGCTATTGACAATTTCTACCGTTCAAAATTATAGGGATAAAATAATGCAATTTTTTAAAATGCGCTATAACTTAAAATTTCGCAAATTGACTTTCTTCGACTTGACTAGGGCCCCAATCTATCAGAAAATCGAAACAACTCTCTGGGCAAACGATTTTAAGTAGCCCGCAAGACCACGAGTTCAACCCTAATTTTGCGAAAAATCGCGACATTCCAGTGGG